TGCCAGCACTGTCATTACACATTCACAGGGCAAGAAGAGACAGACAATATAATCAGAATCCCCGTGGTGGCTGGTAAGGTAACGCTAAAAAATCTTTTAAGCCTTACGATAAACAACTGGGAGCCCTTGTTAGATCATGTGTGCAGTAATGATGAATGCGGCCAACGAGGATCGAGCCTGGGCAAGGTACACGTTACAAAGTCAAACCGCTGTGTTATCTTACAATTTTTAATCTTTGACAACAACCTACAAAAGATAACCGCAACAAACATAGTAGGAGTCCCAAGTGCTCAAGTGACTATAGGTAATAAAACATATAGACCTACAGCAGCAATTTTTCATCACGGAGATGCAATATCACGAGGGCATTACACTTGTACCATAAAGACATCTTCAGGTTGGACAACAGCCAATGATGAACAAATATCAAATCAAAGATGGCCCATTGGTTCAAAGAATTTGTACATGCTGTTATTAACAGAACAGTAGAAGCAGCAGTTATTACTTTGTTACAACAGTAAAAGATATCGAACATATTCTACGAGTCGTGGGTTGATGACCACTACCTAACTAGACCAGACGAACTAGAAGATATGAACTTATACGACTTTGTGAGATGGTACGATATAGCTGCTCAACCACCTAAAGGCGACCGTGAAGTGCATAAGTTGAATTCAGGCAAATTCCTCACTAAAAGAGTCAGACCATGCTTACTGAATCACTATAAGTACAGCCCCACTCAGGATCCTGAAAAATACTACCATGCATTACTTCTTATGTTTCTTTGTTGGAGATCTACTGATGAGCTGAAAGAGTCTCATGAAACATACACAGATGCTTTTATGGCCAAGCGGACACTTCTCACTCAAGCCTTCAACTATGACAAACGTTTAAAAGACATTATTGCGGCATCGGAGAATGCAAGAGACAAAATTCAAAACCGAGTTGAAGAGATCAATGCAGAAGAAGGAGAGGTTGCTGATCCATCCAATATAGCCTTTCAGCCCTTTAATGAACCTGTCCCCGCATCCCAGCCTGTCAGGGACAGCAATTGGTCGCCGAATGACGAGCCGTTTGAGAAAAAATACCAAAAACTCAATGACGACCAAAAGAGAGTGTTTGATTATGTCAAACGAGTTGTTGCAAACTCTGATGGGACAGATAAATTTCTCAGACATTTTGTAAGTGGTGTGGGAGGTACTGGTAAGAGTTTTCTCATAAAAACTATCAGCTCTTGGACTAAAAAATGTCTTCAAGCCTCTACATCAATATCAGCTCCCACAGGACTAAGTGCTTACAACATCAATGGTTCTACGATCTACAAAGTGTTTCAGCTGCCAGTTGAGCATGGAAAAACTCCAAAGTACAAAGCTCTTACTGATGATGTTTTAAAAATGTTGAGATCCAACCTGAAAGATGTGGTGCTCTTCATAATAGACGAAGTGTCCATGGTCTCCAATCTAACATTGATGTACATAAATCTCAGATTGTGTGAAATATTCAACACCTCAGACCAAAGTAACGGCTGGTTTGGTAAAAAACATATACTGCTCTTTGGAGACCTTTTACAACTTCCACCAGTACACGAAGACTCCCCTTCATTCATTTCTCGACATTCATTGAACTTGACAGTAGCAAACTTAGTTCTTTTGTTGGCTCTCTGTCTTGTGTTAACATCTGGTCTGAACAGTTCTCTTATGATGAACTTACTACAAACATGCGACAAGCTCAAGATTCTAAGTTTGCTGATGTGTTAAGCAAAGTCAGAGTAGGCAATATGACCGTTGAGGACATCCGTCTAATTGAAAGCAAGAAAATACATCTTAATGGAAAAACTGCTTGTGAAAACCTTTCTCTATTAGGAGATTACTTGTCTGCTTTACCCAACAATTCTGTGTGTCTTTGTTCAACTGGTTACCAATGCTCCATAATAAATGATGAAATGGTCAATAGAATAAGTGGTCCTGTTGCAACATTTGCAACAGTCCTTGTTTGTAAGTGGTCCTTGTTTGCAACTTGGTTGCAAAAGACTCAGTTGACTGTCTACCTCGTCAACAAAACAAAGTTAAAAAGATACTGTCCTCTTACAACTCTGACTGCAGCAGAACGGCTGGTATGGAGAAAATTATTCCTATTAAGGTTGGTGCTAAAGTTATGTTGCTTAGAAACATTGACGTCACTGTGGGGCTAGTTAACTCCGCCATTGGAACAGTAACGGGGTTGAGGTTTAATACAGACAATTCTGATGACGTAGACTCAGTGACAATTAACTTTGATTGTGGCATTACCCATCACCTACAGCGAGTAAACGTCAAGTTTCAAGTTATGGATAACGCATTTGTGTATCGAGAGCAATTCCCGATATCGATGTCCTACGCGGTTACAATTCACAAATGCCAGGGCCTCAGCTTAAATAGCGTAATAATTGATATTGGGGAGTCCATATTTACATGTGGCCAATCATATGTTGCCTTGTCACGAGTGACTTCATTAGAAGGGCTTCATCTTATTAACTTTAACCCAAGAGATGTGAAGCCTCAGAAATCCGCCATTCTCGAATACAACAGACTAAGGCAGAAGTACAGGTCTGACCTTCCACTTTACAACACAAGTTGTGACTCCTCTTCGGCTCCTTATGTGAGAGACAGGAAGTGGTGCCAGACCAAAAATGTCAAAAAAGTGCAGGATGAGAGTACAAAACCGGTACCCTCTGCAAAGACTACCGGAAGATCGAGAGTTCAGTCAACTTTAGCATTAAAATTTATTTTTTTTTTCAGAGAAAAGAGTATTTTTATTTGAACGGTTAATTTTCTACAAAAATAAATAAAATCTAACAAAAAACCACTAAGTGGTAACACTTTCCCCGCCAAGTCAGCAATCCAAAAAAGATAATAAATCATTACTTTTTCCGCCAAGAAAAACAATGTAATGTATGTAAGTTTGGCAACTTGGCGGCAGACTTTTGCTTGGTTTTTTTTCATTTAAGTTACGTTCGTGGATAATTTCACAAATCAACTTCTCTAATTAATTAGTCCAACTAAGTATAATAATTTCGAGGTAATCAGTAAATATAAAACCATCACTATTATGATTTTATGAAATGTGGCACAAATAAGGTCAAGTTTTGTAAAATAAGCTCTCACCTAGCAATGTACTAATGGGAGAGATACTTGCTCAATGAAACTAGTTTTATGGTATTTTTAAAGTGATCGAGCAAAAGTCTTCCGGCAAGTTGCCAAACTTACATACATTACATTGTTTTTCTTGGCGGAAAAAGTAATGATTTATTATCTTTTTTGGATTGCTGACTTGGCGGGGAAAGTGTTACCACTTAGTGGTTTTTTGTTAGATATGATTATCTTCAAAGCACTAACCAAGCCATTACACATGGAACCATGAACAATACGACAGTGTTACTGAATAACTTACTGGTTGTTGCTTTTGAAAGGTTGGATTTCCATCTCGAGAAAGACAGATTCCAAGCATTGGCTAAATACAAAAAATAGTGCTTGAAAAAAATGTTTTTAATGCATGTTGAGCATTGTGGAAGGCCTAGGTACTTGCAAAAAGTGTCCATGGCAAGTACAGTAGCCTACATTACATTATACAGGGTGAAGCAGACCACCCTTACACATACTTTTACGGGAGTACGTTTTCTCCTAGAAACGCAAAATAAAATTATTCCTCCCTAAATCACATACGAAGAATCCATTTAAAATATTTGAACATGATCCAAGCACAGGGTGTCCCAGAAATGAAGGTCACGGGTTCGAATCTCAAAATTTCCTTAAGTCAACCTATATCCCAGTGTACATTTTTAGAAAGGTCTTGTTTAGCGCAACATTTTGGTGAAAACAGAATTCAAAATGGCGGCCATTTTTGTGAATTTTTCGCATATTGACGTTTACCTTGATTTTCAAAACCACTAAACATTTTTCCGTTCTGATTGAAAATTCGTAATCCTAATAAACACAGCCTTAAAATTAAGTTTCACATGTAATAATTTTCAAAATGATAATCTTTTACAAAAATTGTATTTTTTTATTTAGAGGTCTACCAATATTACAAAAAAATTTTGTAATTAATGATCATTTTAAAAGTTACATGTGAAAATACAGGGTGTTACGTCATGGATAAAACATACTCCCTTAGTAGATTTACCATCCTTATGAGAACAACTAAAAACACATACAGATAGATAAATCTGGCAGTGTGTCAATGTTAAAGTATTATCGGTTAGATAATAGGTAGGGTTCTTCGTTTAGCTGAAGACGATTTTTTAATTGTTAGTTCTGTACGGTGTAATGCAGAGGCCGTGTTTAGTTTACAATTCGTTTCTTGTTATTTCAGGAATTTAAAACCTCGTTTAACCAAAAATCTAATCATAAACAATAACTCTTCTTCTAGTTATATAACCAAACCGTAAAGCACAAATCAGGAAATTACCCCTCAAATAATAGAATTAAAATTTCGTTGACACTAGTGCCCAGTGTCACCGTACATGAACTAGACACAAAAAACGGGCTTCAAAGTTTACAATGGCATGAGAAGTATATTTGTGTTGGTTTAGTCTATGCTTACGCCAATATGAAAAATTCACAAAAATGGCCGCCATCTTTAAATTAATTTTCTTCTGTTTTCACCAAAATGTTGCTCTAAACAATACCTTTCTAAAAATGTACAATGAGATATTGGTTGACTAAAGGAAATTTTCATATTCGACCCGTGACCTTCATTTCCGGGACACCCTGTGCTTGGATCATGTTCTAAATATTTTAAATACATTCTTCGTATATGATTTGGGGGGTAAAATTGTATTTTGCATTTCAAGGTGAAAGCGTACTCCGGTAAAAGTATGTGTCTGCTTCACCCTATATAAAACAAGATCTTACTACCTACTTTTATTAGGCTACATTATATTTGTGTCTCAACTTATATCTCTTCCAACAAAATATTATATATAGAGTAAAGGAAATCTGGCAACAATATTTAAAATCAAATTACTGTATAAAAATATGTTTAATTCTTTCGGTATATAAAATTTCCTTTTTCTTCCAACTCAATAAAAAAATATTTACAAAAATATGACAGTTTAATTTGTTAGTAGCATAGATACAATATGAACATTGACTAGCCTATATTTAACATAATATTTAGCATGGGTTAAAGGATGAATCAGTTTCTCCTCTTTGTCCCATCAACAGAATACTATCGAGTTAACAGATGCTGGAGCAGGCTCGAGAGTGATGACTGAACGCCCAGGTGGCTGTGGGTTTACGAGCGTAAACAACTAGAATGGGATTCTCTATGTTGACTTCTCCAGTTTCCGTGATGGGAACTCGTTGACGCACAAGGACCTCGAAGATTGCCAGATATTGCTCCTTGATATCTTCGGGCATTCTCTTCACAAATGGGTTAAATGCTTCAAACGCCCCTGGAAACAAAACAAAAGTCTTGGTTATTGAAAGTTGTTTATATCCTTGTTAAGATGACTTTGTAAGAAAATAAGAAGTTGAAAACAGGTTTAACTTTGGTAAAAATAATAAATTTTTATTTTTAGTTTGGGAGGCCAAGAGGTTAGTGCTTGCCTTTAAATCTGAAATTCTCCGGTTTTGATTTCAAGAGTTACTGGACCCAGATACTAGTTATTGCGCAATCAATTAATGATGTTATCTAAATAAAGGTCAACAAAAGATAGTACAAGGTTTGACCTTTTCATGAAACAAATTATAAAAAAATGTCATTGGCGTAAATAAGTACAAAAAAGAAAGACAAAGCCCTTTGGCGGGTTGTGGGGAGAAAATAACTTTTCTTGTATACTTGTGGATTGATACATGTTGGGTAAATGCATATTTTCAAAATTCTTTATAACTGAGTATCGTTAATTAAGTCTTAAAATTCTATCATACAATTTGGATCTTACATAACACCACCGACTCTACAATGTGAGTCTGTCATTTTAAATATATCCACAAGTTTAGTTGATATTGTAAAAAAATCTATTTTTGTTCATTAATTTCCAATCAGTTAAGTAAATCTTGATACCTACTTTATTTTTGAATATGTAGACTTAAGGGGCAATTTTATGCGATTTTTATTATGTGCATTTCAGTTTTCCAAATATACACAATTTCTTGCAAAAAAATAAAATTTTACAGTTTTAATCCTGATAAAAAAATATATTTTTGGTTTTCTATACAAAACTAGATGGGGCGACCTTTTCAAATGTAATTTTAAAGTTCAACCCTACTACTCTTCTACGATTTAAAACCAAAAGAATATTCTTCTAATTTTCTGAATCAAATTGCTACAGCAGATATGCACACACAATATCACTACCACATTTCTAAAGTCAAGACTTGTTATTGACCGAGCCACAGAGTTAGTTTATTACAATAAATAAGTGTTTCTTACTCTTCATGGTTTCCATGTTGGGGTAGGTTACAGGGTTGAGCCTTTGTTCACAGACGATAACCTCCAATCCTTGACTGGTCAGAGTCCGCCTCAAATCCTCCGCAGGATCCTGAGAGTGGTGGAGGGGGGGAATAAACTGGTCCACGTCCTGTACAAGAGTAAAACCACACATGAACTATAAGATAAAAATTGAACTAAAATATTAACAATTGTTGATACTGTTATAATATGTGACGTAAACTAGATTTTTATGTTGTAAAATTATTATGTTTTCCCCTGCAAATCAAATTAAATCTAAACATCTTTATTTATCCTGTCCATATGAGTTCCATAAATAGTGTGAAATAATATGAGACTGTCAGATACCACGCTAATACTGTAATATTGATTCTCGTAAATTTGAGGAAAGCGTCATGCATTATCTTTGACTATGAATAGAATACAAATTTAACATTGAATGGTACACCAATTGAAACCGTTTAACACATTACTTCAGGCCAGGGTTTGGCTTAGAGGGTGTGTCATTCATATAGACAAAATCCTATATGATTGGCGGAATTTGAACTTTGGAGCCTCAGAGACCAATTAGCAGCATGGTTAGCTCCGTCTAGACCACTAGACCAGCACACTTTTTAGTTTTATAATAAAAATAAATGTAGTTGAATCATGCCAACATCAGAATCCAATCCAATTGACCGAGCCAAACTAAAAAAGTAACTCCACACAAACTCAATTCAAATTTTGACAGTAGCATAGGGATTCTTTGAGTGATTCAACTATCTTTTCATTGAATAAAAAATTTCCCACAGCTAGTGTTCAAACTTCAACAAATTCTGTCTGAAATTACAATGTTGTAATGTACTGTACCTGGCAGTACTCCTGGAACTGTTGGAACTGACTGAGAAGTTTGAGAGCCAAAAACAGCTGACTTGAGGGAGTCATGACTGCTAGGAACTCGCCACCAGGCTTTAGGAGAGTGGACAGGTTTTCTCCCAGTTGTCTGTAAACAATAGGGGACAATGCTTTAGACTTCTGTCATTTATCACTTCTATCAATCTACTGCTTAACTACATACTGAAAAATGCAACCTAAAATAAGAAAAAAAGATTCCATTGACATCAGCTCACTCTAGTTAAACATGGTCTCTAGAGCTTACAACAGGATAGGTATTTTTTACAGGATCCAACATCAATGATAAAAACATACAATATCTTACAAACTTACCTCTGGTCTTGCACCCAGTGTAGGCAATGGCAAGAGAAGATTTTAGAAAAGTGTTTCTCTGGCAGTTGTTTCTTAATGTCTTTTGTAGCGATGTCTAAAGTTTTGAAAGAGATCCTGTCGTTGGCGTACTTCTCGTTTGCGTATTCTACCATGTTCGGACTGAGGTCAACACCAACCTTATGAAACAGTGAAAAAAATGTTAGATAGGTAAGTATATTTGGCTGGAAATCAATGTTAGATTTTCAAAACAAAAAATTTTGTAATCCAGTGTTGCATATTAGTAGGCCTACCCTTACTTGCATGCATAGAATTTTTCAATTTAATATTAGACATTTTCCGTTAAATCACTGCCACTATGTTTTTTCTTTAGTTGAATTGTCGTAATTTCTACAAATTCCGTTTAGGATCAGGTTATTTTAGGGTGGGATTTTAGGTAGGTAAGGTTTTAGGTTAGGTGAGAATCAAGACATGATTTAAAACTGTAATTGTGTATTGTCAAATACAAATTATATAGTGGCAATGATTTAACAAATAAGGCCCAAATACAGGCTATCGAAAAGGAATGCCAGAGGATTTTAAACGGTTTTTGCTTGGGGACTGTTTAAGATAAATAAACAATTTAAACGTCAATTGGGAGTTGGAATTATTAAGTTTCTTTTTGTGTAGCAAGAGAGGAAAAATTGACCTTGACATGCTCAAGACAGTTGCGCAGTGGCAGGCCGCCGTTGTGACTCGCACGCCTGACGCCAGTACGATGTTTACGGTGTAACAGAAGGCACAGTGTGATCTGTGTCTCACGGAGTTTAAATCTATTGTTAATTAAATCAAATTTAAATTCCTTTGATGATCAAGCAATTCATTGATGTTTTAATCAGTTTCTACACCTGTCACACAGAAAGTGTGTGGAAAGGACATTTACCTAGCCGGCCAAAAACAAATGATGACAAAGTCAAAGAAATTCAACAATCTTTCATCAGAAGCCCAACAAAGTCTTCTGTTAGACATACCTAAATGGACACTCCCTGATGTTATTTGTAAGAAATTGAGATATTGTGCCTACAAATTTTAGTTAAGGCGTCGGATTAAACCCGCTGATTGCCCAAAGCATACAGACTCTGCTAGTTTGTTGAGATTGATGACAATCCAAATTTGATCAAAGTATGGAAAAAATATTTGTTCTTTTCCCTTCAATTTCATGTTAAATCGTTTGATTATCTTTAATATTCCCCAAGCAACGACCATTCTAAATACTGTATTAATTGGATTAAAATTGTTATGAATAACTGAACAAGTAACGATTGTGAAATAAGTAACTTAATAAACTTTGGTTTAGTACAAAAACATTGTACTGTTCTTTTTTCACAACGGGAGTTAAAAAATTTAATTAAAGATAAATACGAGTCCATAGCTGCTAGATTTTGAACTTTTGAAGTTCATTTTTTAAGTTACGGCTATTGTTTTGATCAATTTTGAAAATTCTCAAAACAATTGAATAAAAACCAAATAAAAAAATCATAAAGTTTTCAATGAGTGTTTTCTTTAATATTGTACTTGGAATTAAGATGTAAACAAATATTTGTAAAATGAGTATTTTTTAGCAATTACTTTGAATCATGTTTCAGTTTATATTGTTTGTACCAATTGTTTTACCTGGGACCTCCGACGTTGATTTGGGAACTGACTCCTTTGGATCTGTTCCTCATAGCCTCTTAGAGGCTTCTTTCTATTATCTCTTGTGTCATTGGACACTTTGCAATTCAATTAGTTTTCTGAAAATACAAATAAGCATGCATGAAGACAAATAAACAAATAATAACAATTGCCAAATAAAGTACATTAAACATGATAAAGCACGGGATTCTGTTTTAACAATATTATGAAGGATGATGCATTAATGATAACCAACTGTTGCCTTTATATAATAGATTTTTTAGCTAAAAAATGTAATGAGTTCGATGACTTTAGGAAAATAGCTTTATATAGAGAGTTAGATAATCTGAGATACGTATATTTTTTTACTTGATAGGTCATACAGCTTATGTCACAGAATTTGTACCTGGGCATCTGAAAGTTCTGTGCTTTAGCTTAAATTAAATAGAATCAGATGTGGATAATTTTGAATTTTTTTAGAAAAATAACAGAGATTGTAATGAGGAAAACTTGAAATTGGCCGAGAACTTATAAGGACAAAGGCGTAACAAAATAGTTAACAGAAGAAATTGCGTTGGTATCTTAAAAATTCAACTTAATTCAGAAGTAACTGTCAGTAACAAACAAAGGTTTGGAAAAACGTTCTCCAATTGTATCCTTATGGTGCTTAAGTAGCCTATAGATTATCTAAAAAAAGTTACAATAATTCTGTAAGTACCAGAGTTGCGTTTTTGGGCAAATGAGGCAGCAAGACCTCCGTGGAAACATCGCCAGGGCCACACCCAATGTCGAGTACATCTTCATTCTCAGACCACGACAATCTCGACGAGAACTCTCCAAGAATCATCTCAGCGTCTCGCTTCTGTACAGCGTTGTAGCTCAAGTAAAGCTCTGCGTTCTCCATCTAGAACACGTGTTTAATTTGTACCACGCTTTGAAAATTATTACACCTATAGGTTGCGGCATTATCACTTAGATAAAATCCATTAGTGATTGGCAGGATTAGAACCCAGGACCTCTGGGACCGAAGTCACGCACTCTACCACTAGACTGGACCAGCTCGCTCCAACTCACATAGTTACACATAAGACAACATTGCTTCAGTAGAGCACCAGACCAACCAAATGGCCTATTGATTTATAATAATAGAATTTTTACCATTTATACAATTGTTTTATAATGTTGTAGTTTTATTTACACTTTTTAAATGTTGATATTGTACTCAAAAAGAGTTGATGAGTTCTTAAAGATTTTGGAGAGTATGACTAGTCAAATTTAATGAAATAATATTAAACCCAATTTTAAGGTACTTTAATTGGAGAACTTTAAGGTTAAACCTCTAAAAGAACACACAGTAAAACCTCACTCAACTCGACAGCCAACAGGTGAGAGGGCGCAAGCAATAAACAAATTTTTCATAACATTTAGTTTTATCTTTGACTAAATAGTCAATGGTTTTATATTCAACATTTCTTTGAAGATTGTTTACTCAAAATATGTTAAAATGCTCATGTACGTAATTAATTTAGATGTAAAAATCTATTATGCATTCATTTATTAAAACCCATAAAAAATGGCATTCTGGAGTAAAGCTTTACCAAAAATAATATAGTTTTCATCACTCCGTAACGAAAGTGACTATTTTCGATAACAGCTGACATCAATGAAAGTAGTCGTTTCCCAAGCTCTAATTTAGGGCGAGGGAAAATCGATCAGCTGATTTTCTCTCGCTCTAAATTTACTTTCCCTCGCTCTCAATTAGTTCTCCATTTATTCACTACGCGCGCTAGTGTTTTGTTATGGTTTAATTTAATGATTTGAATCAGCTGTATGTATTGTTCAAGTTGTTGTATTCTTTTATTTTGATATTTAAACAAAATGTATTGAGAAATATACGTAGGTTTCCTTTTAGAAAATATTATTTTATTTTTATGTTCAATAAAATTAATTGAGAAATAAATAAAATAGTTGTAATATTACTGAGGTCTGCTATTCTGTGTTTGTGTATTTTTGCGTCGTGATGAAAAGTATCGTTCATAACTTGTCCCGAAAGTTATTATCCGGCACTTGCTCCATTATTCCCGTCCTCGGCTTCGCCTCGTACGTGAAAATAGCTCTCACATACTCGGCTTCGCCTCGCACGTGAAATTGATGTTCCCTGTGTTCGGCTTCGCCTCACACAAAAACTTGAGCGTGCGACGGAAAATGCCACTTTCGGTCCTAGTAATGAAATATACTATTAAATTGACTTGTAGAATTACTAAAAAATCAATACGGCATCATAGCAAACAGCTGATTGATTGATCACTTAATACAGAATAATGTCATTAATTGGTAGAAAACCTCAACAGATTGCACCAGGTTTTTTTGCTTCAAATTTTTACATTACACGAGAAGTCTATAAACAAACACAGGATCAATTAAGAAAATTTTTTTCAGATATAAATGTAGCTGTCCATCATGTTTTCACTCTATCTGATCAATCATTGAAAGCAATTAATTTAAATGGTTTATTTAAATATACTTCATTATGCCAAAGTAAAATTTTAACATTATTCATGTTCAATTTGAAAACAATTTTGGCAATTAGTACTATTATAAATAAAACAAAGCAACTGAATTATTAATTTCAAATAAGTAATTACACAAAATCTGTACCCTTGAAATATTTTTTTTAAATTTTACTTTTATTACGATTACATTTTACAGATGTTATTAGTAAATCAGTGAAATATATAACTCACCTCTAACTACTGTGTTTGGTTCTGTTAGGGAGGATAGCAGAGCTGGGTTCTGACCATGGATTGACCAATGTACCATCTTTATATAAAAGTTCCACCATCACTATCAAAGGTCAAGGATTCGACATCTCGTGCAATCTCACTTCTTGTTACTAAAGAATCAAAAACAATTTTGCACACAGCACTCTCACGTGATAAGCGTACAAAGGTCGAAGAAAGCTTTTGCCAGTCATACAAATGAGGTGATAAGCAAGATTAAAATGCTTTAAATAATACTTTAAGATAGAGGAAAAACGTTTGGAGATATGATAAGATTGATACTTGTGAAACGAGTAAAGGAAACACTAAAGGTTTGGGAAAACAAACTGGTTTCATTGATAAGCTAAACTAACAGTAAAAGTGAGAATCATTTTGTGTTAGAAAAGATTTTTGAAGTTAGTTTTGTTTAGTCAATGATTAAATGGAACTTTAGGGTTGGCATTGATATTTTTAAGACTCATTGTGGTTTGGGTCTGCAAGTTGCGAACATCCACCTGCTTAGGACAAGTTGGTCATAGCGATGACTTACAATGCTAGAAAGCAACACTGGTGTACACTAGCTTGGTTGCCATTCGGCAAATCTAAATTATTATTTAGTGTATGACATCGGATATTTACTATATAGCATCTAGACTGTCTTAAGCCAAGAGATCCATGTTAAATTTTACAAACCAAATAAGAAATTAAGGTGTTAAAAAAAAAAAAAAAAAAAAAAAAAAAAACATCAGCCCTAATCTTAAAAGATCAAATCTAGCACTCTGAGTCAATGTTACATCATAGGGGAAAGTAGATACAAACTAATTCACCTTTAAGCTTGTCAAAAACAATAATGACTTTATGACTGAAAGAGAGAGTTTCATCCCCACAGGACCCGTCTTAACTAATACTCCCAAGAATTACACTGGAGTCTAAACCTTCGCTATATCATCAGGATGTTGTCCCCTGGTACTGCGGAGTGGGGGAAGCCCAATTTTCATTTCAGCTGCAGTTTTTTAATACGGACAAAATGAGAGCATTCTATTGGCTGAGGGAACACCATTACTGCAACAATACGGTTTGAAGCCATCGGCCTCTGTGGTCTAATGGATAAGGATAACAAGCCGGGCTGAGAAACTGAAGGTACCAGGTTCAAATCATATTGGTGGCACTAACATTTTGTCTAAGTTTTTTGCGTTATCAGCAAGTTTGGTTAGGTTAAGACAATTTAATTTTATAATTAAAACATTATAAAATTGAATTTTAGCTACTATAGTTTTAGAACTATTTTTTTCGATTAGTAAACCTTCATTTGATTTTTTTTAATATCAGCAAGTTTGGTTAGGTTATGACAGTTAAATTTTATAATTAAGAAATTATAAAATTGAATTTGAGGCATTTATAATTTTATTTTATGAACAGAACTACTTTTTCGATTAGTAAACCTTCATTAGATTTTAATTTTATATCTTTTATATATAATCAGCAGGTTTGGTTGATTAGGTTAGTTTATTTCGTTACTTTTAATTTCTATTATTGGTCATTTAGCAACCGTTAACACACATTAAATTGTTTTGCATCAAATTATAAGTCACTACTTTTTTTAGACAGACGTAAGTGGGTATTATAATCTGAATATGAAAGTGAGTGTAGAATGGAGTGAGATGATCTGTGTAGCTTTACTGACTAAGGTCAGTTGTACAGTTAGAATCATATATCAAAATAAAACCCTGATAACCAAGGACAGCAGGGTCCAGTTTTGAACCATCAAAATCCACTGAACATTCTAAGACAATAGGTAAAATAGTGTGAGAATGTCACATAATGAACGACATGATTACCAAGGCCAACCAAAATGAACATCCCACATTAAATGTACAAGTCTTGAGTTCTGGAATATCTTGCAAACTATAGTTGTTATTATAGTAGGTAGTCAACTTTCAATATGATAAGAATTAATTTGAATATCCCTGAAACTGAGATTTTACTATATATAAACTGTTCCCAGAGGCCAAAATCACAATCTGTTCAAATTCATGTATATATATGTCCCTTAGCACGATAACTCGAGCAAAAACCATACGATTATAATGAAATTTGGTACAACGTATAAACCAACATTTATTCAAATAATGATCGGACCGTGGGAACGTGGTTTTAAGGGGAATGTATGGGATAAAAAGAGGTTTTTCTCATTTTTAACCCTCAAAACATAGAATTTCTTAATTTTTCTTTAAACCATTTTGAAGAGCTTAAAACAAACAAACAAATAATTTAATTAATTAGTATCTTGAAGTGTTTTTGTTCGGTTATCGGTAATAAAGAAAATTCAAAATATTGTATATGTCTATGTTATTCTTATGGGGAATAAGTAAATTATTCTAAAGTTTACTTGTTTATGTATATTATATTTTGATCAAAATTGGCAAATTTATTAATTTTATACCAATCTATTTATATTTCAATAAAACACACTTTATTACCCGCTCTCCCTGTAGCTGCAAACCTAGTTTACTCATTCAATTTAATGTTATTTAAATAGATTTGTTAAAATCAAAACAAGCAAATGGAAATTCACTTAGCCTGCAGGTTTGCTGCGGCGAGGTATTTTTTAATCCAGTAGGATAGTTGCGTGTGTGTGAACCATTAATGAAGCTCCTCAAGCAGATTTAAAATCATTTCTGGACAGAGATGTTTGAAAATATCATCCCACCAACCTTATGATTATTACGATTGGAAATGCTAATGCTTACAACAGTTATTGTAAACACACAACTGTTATGAATATAATTCTTGGTTAGAAGAGTAGCCGAGGCTCACTAAAGTAACTTACAGTTTGCTGCTTCTTATTTACCACAAACAATGACAATCAAGTTTTCTTTGACAACTAGTTTAATCTTGTGTCATCTTACAGAGTGTAACACAATGAGTCACTAAATGCTGACTTGCTTTTTGTTTTGAATGGTCTGTTAAGTTACGGTTTTGTTAATGAATAAGTGGTTTATTAAAAATTACGTCTCTTAGTTTGGAATTTTGAGCGGATTTCCCTAAGGGAATTAGCTAATACTGTAGGTCTCATGGTAAGACCTAGACCGGGGACTGATTTATTTTTTCATTTTGATGTCCCCAGATGCCAAAAACACAATCCGTTCAAAATATTGTATATATATATATATTTTGATGAAATTTGGTTTGAATGTGTATGGCAGGATAAACTTGAACGAGTTTGCGAACCAGCATGATCGGACCAAGGGAACAGGGATTTACGGGAGGTTTTGTGGGGTAAAAATGGGGTTTTCCCATTTTTGTCCATCAAAACACAAAATTTCCGAATTTCTCTAGTTTATTTTAAAGAGCTTAAAAAAAACCAAATAATTTAGTATATCTAACTGTTTTTGTACAGTTATTGGTTAAGGAGGAAATTAAAAAAAATTTACATTTAAAATTGCACATGTTATTATTATGGAGAATATTTGAATATTGTAAAATGTTGTAGTTTGCTTGTTTATGAATGTATTTGGGGGATTTTCTATATGTATATTGCATTTATGCCTGACTTGTATTATTACAACCCAAAAAGTATTCATTTATAAAAAAATCAACCATCAAATCTTTGATAATCCTTAACTTAATGGAACTTAAACTTAATAATGGTTAAGAATGTTTACACAACATATAAAAAACTTACTTATATCATTTAGCGACCTAATTCTGAGAATCATGAGTTCACAGATACCGTAATCTGAGCAGCAATTAATTTTAACACAACATCCAAAGGGTAAAAGACCGGTAATCATAAAATAAAATGCTATCATTAGTGGTTTAAAAAATGCAGGAAAAACTTATTTTTGAAAAAATCTAACTTTTTTTCAAACCGTTAGGGTTATACTTATAACTTATTCATTAGATGACAACACTATCTAAAGACTAAATAATACCTGTGGCACGGCAAACCTGCAGAATAGGTGAACTTCGACTTTTCTGATTGGATTTTCACAAACATATCTTCTTTAACATTATTTTCCCTGGTTAAATAGCAATAGGTTAAATGAGTACTTAGGTTTGTTGCTACAAAGGAGGTAATTAAATGTGTTTTAGTAAAATTTTAATAGCGTAGCGTTCAAATAAATAAATGTGCAGATTTAATGAAAATACATTTATAAACAAGTAACCAACAAAAGTTTACTTATTTTTGAAGCAAAAAACATATACGTTTTTAATTTACAGTTTTTTTTAGACTTTTCTCTGCAGTCTGCAACCATTAAGCAAACAACAACACATCAACATACTTATAATTTTTTTTTTTAAGCTCTACAAAATGGCCCATGAAGATAATGAAAAATTGTATACTTTGGGGGCAAAAATGGGAAAAACACCCCATGAAACCCCTTCCCATAGTCCAATCATTCTAGTTCAGGATCTCGTTCAAATAAATGTTTGTACCATCAAAATCAGATCATTTTTACTCGTGATATCTCTCTAATAGACACACACACATATCTAATATATAAAATTCTCGTATATATATATATATATTATAAAATTTTTGTACAATATCACATATCCTATAAATTTATGTTTACAGATAAATTTGGACAGATGGTGTTTTTGGCCACTGATGACATCCAAATAAAAAAGTTTATCAGTCCTGGGTCTAGGTCTTACTATGGGAATGAGACCTACAGTAATAACTTATTCCATATGGGAAATTCGCTAAAAAATAATAAAATTTAAGACAAAAAAAATACATCAAAGGAATAAATATAGAAGGGTAAAAGCAATCACAATCAAGTTAGTGACACTTTTATTTAAAAAAATAAGACAACATAAAAACATTAAAATTATGAGTCGTAAAATCACATAATCCAAATATCACAATATTTTTTTCATAAAATTGATATTTAGTTCAACTAACCAGATTCTGACTAACTAAATATTATTTATAATTGAGATAATTTCATCACAAGTTTTCTTCTGGAGTCAATGGCAAAACAGGGTCCCAGAAACCTACAAAAAGTGTCATTAAATTTAAATTATACCGTTGACTATATACAGACTATATTCGGTGTATAGTCATTGTGATTATACAGTATTGCAGCTTGTTACATTAATTAAAGAATGAGAATATTCAAAAAACCTTAATTTAAGGGTGTGCAAGTAGTGAATGGATAATTCAAGTCGAGTTTAGAGAAAAACTCGCGGGCTTCCAGTTTTTTAAGTTGAGTATTTTCATAGTGAAGTGACATACATTATTGCTTCAAAATATCAAATTAAATCTTCCCAAAACGATTAAATGGTTTCTTTATGTCATGTACTAAACAATGTACAATTAAGCTCATAAAGTTAACGTTGGTTTAAGTTAAAAAAACTAATACTTAATACTTACACCATATACAATGCAATTCAATAAAATTGTCATATGTTCTAAAACCTCTATAGCAATAGCATAGCATGAATTAAATTCAATTGAATAATTTATTGTTAAATTATTAATCTTTGACGGGTAAGCTACATTCATTAAACTCTAACACAGCATTTTATATTAGTTATTTAAGACATACCTACACTGATTATAGTATTATGTTTATAAACAGTGATCCCTCGTACCCCACCCTGTTTGTCATATTCACTGAAATATCATATATTGCAATATTGTAGTACGGATGGACAAAGAAAGGCAATATTTGTTTTTCATAACTTACTTTGCGTTGATTTAAAAAGGAATTCTGTTAGCTAGGTTTAGTGTTTAACTAAACAAAATGACTGCATGTTGTTTTTGAGTTATTTCCAAAAGTCAAACAGTCCTCGTCAACTTTCTGTGTTATTGTTCACTTAACTGTAGTATAAATTATGTTGTTATTTCATCAAACAAAGGCAACGCCAAATATATCGCGCAAACAAAAAACTTAACCTTAAAAATATGCTTTTATAATTTAGTTCTCAGATCTCGGAAGCCATCTTTGTCGTAAATTCGGAACAAAATACACTCTTGCGGCAGGCTATCCAAACTAAGCTATTGATACTTCTATTCTCAAATTTAACTTTTTTTTCAGTATGTATTTCAGTTCGCTGTAGGAGTTAAAAAAAAAAATGCTTCCACCAAACTCATTATAAAGCTTTACTCCGAGTTTTCTAGAATAGCTCGAGCCAAGCAAAGTACTGAAATACTCGCTCAAAAATACTCTACCACTCGCACACCCCTACTTAATTTTTATTGCAGATTACATTTTATTAGAGTTGCACAGGTTAAATGGTTGGCCCTGCTGAGTGTGACCTAAAAGTTATGGTGATTGAGCACTAGGTAGACTAATCAAAAATAAAAATACCCCAGTTCTCTTACTGCAGAAGAGATGTGTAGAGGTTATTCAATTGTTAATGAGTTGAGTACCTAATACAAATCTGCTTATTAATTACATAATTGCAAATTTCATTGACAAGTTTTTACAGTAACAGAAGTATTTGAAATATTTACATTATCACAGGAAACTACCTACTGGGTGTCCACCAGGCCAACCAGAAAAAAATCATGAGTAATTCCAGGTCGTTCAGGTTGTAATTTTCATAATAAACTTTCCAACATGTTATTGCGCCAACTCCCACAATGTTGTTTTAGCGCTAACAAAGTTCGCTATTTTAGTTATTGGGAAAAGCATTTTCAGTTAAAAAAACAAAAGTTATGATTAGGCTACTGTAATACTGCCTGACACAAGTATGCAATTTTTATATATTACTGATTAAATAATCAGAAAATTAAAAACTAATCCTTAAACCTGCAATTATCAATAACTTCTTAAAAATAGTAATATTTTTTAATACCAAAATTTCAATACCAATGTTTCAATAGCCTACTAAAATTTCAATACCAATGTTTCAATACCAATCTCCGTACCGAAACCTGAAAAATAGATTCTTAATACTGATAATTTTTATTTTACCAAATTTTCTGTAAGGGTTACTTCTTTAACCCCTGTCTTTATGTAGTTTCATATAATGTGTAATACTAATTTTGGAGTTATAGGTTGTTTTTCAAGTGGCCTACAGAAATAATTGATTCATAAATTTAAAAATTTCACATAGCCAATTTAAGTTTTAAACCCTTCTAAACGCATTAAATAAATACCTTGTTAAAGGTAAAAGAACATTAACAAAAAAATATATATAACTTAAAAATAAAACTTTCTAGAAGTGTACCATTTCTAACACATCTTAATCTTAATCTTTTTTTAGCTTTGGGCGAGTCTGATACCTCCTGTTAATAGGCTCAAAATTCTATTAAGATTTTCTATAGTTTAAAACTTTATTATAGTCATCTTGTTTGTTTAAGAAAGATAAAAATAAACAAATAAACATTTTTGATCTTAAAAAAACCAAAAAATTATACAGTAATTAATTGGGTCGCATACAACACCAATTAATTGAAGTGTGCCATTTTGAAATTTTTCGGTCAAGCCAAACTCGAGATAATATTGTGATTAGATTAGACCACTGTTGTAAAGACACCATCATAGTTTTCCTCGATAACGGCAAAATAACCACTGTCTTCCGTGGTCGTGACAAAATCCTGATATTGTTCAGAGTAACGGAAACATTATAATCATCTCCCGCAAACACAGAAAAGTTATTAACTTCAGCGATCGTAGCTTAATTCTAATAATATTCCTCAGTCATCATCGTTAAGCAATAGTTTTTGGACATCATCATCACAGAAACGTCATCATGATCGTCTCCTACGGTCACGGAAACGTCATCGTCGTCTTCTGCTGTCAGGGAAACGTCATCATCGTCTACCGCAGTCACGGAAACATTTAATCTTTTGCGCGATCGCAGCAAATTGAAAATTCCAGGTAAAATACAAAATTCACACATAATTCCTGGTTTTTTCCCGGTTAAAAAAAATCATGCACAATTCCCGGGTGGTGGACACCTTGTACCTAACACGTATGACGGCTGTAATAGCAAGACATTATGTAACTCAAACATCAATATCTTCAAGTTTCATCACTAGCCACTAACTGAACTTTGTGACCTTGAAAAAAAACCTCTTTAATCAATGAAGATATTTTTCTTTGAATGTTTTTGATCTAAAATTATACTTGACTAAACAAGAATTGAAAGTATTTTAAGAAAAATTAGAAGCAATGATATTGACCTTCTGTATTCTGATCTTAATCTCTTTTTTAGCTTTGGGCAAGTCTGATAGCTCCTGTTAATAGGCTCAAAAATCTGTTCAGGTTTTCTATAGTTTAAAACTTATTTATAGACTTAGTTATCTTGTTTGTTTAAAATAGATAAAAATAAACAAATAAACATTTTTGATCATTTTGATCTTAAAAAACCTAAAAATTATACAGTAATTAATTGGGTTCCATACAACACAAATTAATTTATAAAATGAAAATGTTAACAAATATTTCAATAATAAACAGGTAAGCTACAAATGTTTTAAATATACTCCATAAAGATGACTTTGAAGACAATAATAAGATAAAAAACAACCAAATTGGTATAAAGTGATAACATAATGTAGGCGATTAAAGATACATTTTTTAAAGGTATTAAATATTACTGTATTTTGATTGAATTTGGCAAATTTACTAATTTCATACTAATGACATGTTTAATGAATTAGCCCATTTAAGTAAATATCCAATAAGGCTAAGAGAAATTAACTTGGTTTGCAGGTTTGCTGCGGCAGGGGTATTTAGTATGTATTTGTGTTCAGTTCCCAATGCGATCTCCCTTTCTTTGAATCAATATTAATAAAATTACAGTTTTGTCTGTACATTGGGTAGAATCATGAAGTTTTTTGTTATTTTTACATTTCTTGGCCTCAAAATTTAATGAATAATTAGATTTGCTGCTACGGGGAAGGGAAGAAGTGTTTTTTGATCAAATGTTAATAGTACAGGATGTCAATAGCACTCATCCTATACATTAAAAAAAATAAAGCTGACATTTTTTCTAACACCAACATATATGGTAACAACTTATACCCCTGTATTGGAAAATCGCTAAAAGAAAGAGAAAACAGCACAGAATTGGAGTGTGTCGTCTCAAAAAATCCCAATTTTCACACCCTAACATCATTGATTAGGGGAATTCTTTGTGGTTAAAATTATTCGAAAAAGCATAGCCACCCACTTTTTACAAGCTGCTGACTTTTAAGACGACATTATGAAAAACAACTGAGATTCTAGATTCCTATGGCACAGGTTGTTTGATATGGCCGTCTTAATTGTCACCCATTTTTATCCTGTGTTGCTGCAGCAAAGCCTGGTTACAATACCTGGAGGTGTGTTTGCTCTCAGCTGATATTTGTCCCTGTGTCTGGAACATTTGTCAAGTCTTGCTCTTACATCTACAGACTGGTCCAAGCCTGCTGCTTCGTAGTACTGCAACATCCATATACTGTATGTTAACACTGAGGTCAATGAGGAATTACTTTATATTAGAATGTATACCATTTACCATAAAAAAATTGAAAAATAACATTCAGAAGTAAAACCAAACACTGACACAGTGAGTAGTTAGTTCTTTCCTAACAACCAAAGGTTGGTGGTTCAATTTTGAGAAAAGTCAGAAACTTCTTGATAGTTTGCCACTGTACCCAGCAGTCTTTGATCATCGGGCTTTTAAAAATGGCCATAGCTAGAGAAATAGCTGGTGTTAGTCAGTAACAAAGCTGCACGAGGCATCTCACTCCATTCTACAGTCCTATCTGGGTTAAACTATGTTCATCTCAATCGGTAATATGTATGATCGGATAAGGAAAAGTATAAAATTGTAATTTATTATCACACATCCAACATTTTAATGTAGAGTAGACAGCATGAAAATAATCAGCTTTCAGCATTTTAGTCTGACTACTTTTGTAGTCAGTTAGAACATAATGAGAAAAGGATGATTAGGGTTAACGTCAGTGTTTAAGAAATATTTAACATACTTTAAAAACCTTGTAACACAACTATCACTTCACACAAACGCACCAACTGTCTTTAAATTGCTGATTATATTTCAGCTAATTGTACATACACTTTATCAGAAGCAAAGAACTGTATTTTGATTGAAACAGCTGATATGAAATCATATACTGTATGTGTCTTGAGATATTTCCATCATCGATCCATCAATTATCTCTTTACAATATGTTGTGGCTGCCTCTACATAGCCTTTGTTAATAAACATTTTGCCTTATTTGATTGTTTTAGCATTTTAAAATATTGAATAAATAAATAAGACAGTGAGTGGTATGTTCTCATTGTTGATGAAAAAGTAAGTGTTATTTTAGACACAATAGTATAGTATATAGACACACCTTGTTATTATAACTTAAACGGAGGGCCAATGGGCTGGATTAAGGGAAAAGCCCAGGGCATCGAGAACCATTTAAACTAGCGAATCAAGGTTATCATTTGTGAATTTTAGACAGCCGAGGTTCCTGAAAAAATGGTCAGCAACAGCAAATAGAAATAATAATAATTCATCATTTCAGTATCTGAGCGATGGAACTTTTTATGAGCGAGTGGCCAGTATGCATGAACCGTAGACTGCCTAACGGGACCAGTCCTAGGTTGGATAACTCAAAAGGTTAGTTAAAACCACCAATACCTAAAAACTAAAAAAAAATGGAGTGCTATTATTCTGAAGTTGTGCGTGTATTTTTTACAAAACAAACTACTCTTAAATTAAATTTTTTTCTTGAGTATTGACGATAGAAAACTCACAAATAAACCCAAACAGGGTAAAGTCAAATACTTTCAGAGTAATAAATTATAGTCTTAGGCAAGAGTCAATAAAAATTCTTATTTTAATACCTTTAGTAATATTAATCGATGCTTTTCAAATACATCGTAATACAGTACAGAACTTATTGTTCTAGTACAAGCAACCATTTCGTTACGAGACAGGATGTTTATTTATAGCCTGTAACATCCTGAAGAGTTTAGCGTATTGTTCCCATTGCCAAGCATGGGAGCAGAAATGCCAAGATTCCTAGAATGTACAGAAGTTGAACCGAACTGCTCGTCGGTTAAAACAAACTGTAATATTTCACAAGCGAGAGCGGATAATCCAATTATTGGTAAATGCGAGGTCGGTTAATAGGAGGTCTACTGTACATGAGTTCTGTCTTTTGTCCCCTGATTTGTCGCTACTTGAAAGTACTGTATAGTGCAGTATGGCATTGCGCGTAAACAATTTATTTACCATACAATAATTGGATGTTAGGTACAGTGCTTAATGTAGGCCTACTGTACATAATTTCACATTAAAGTAAAGTAGAGTACAATAATCTCATTGATCTGCAGGCTACTTTAATTATGAAATCAACATATACACTATTTATAAGGTTTAGTTTCTTAAAGGTATAGGATTGAGCCGGATTACTGGAAAGTTCAGATTAGCGAGGGCCGGATTATCGAGGTTCTACTGCACTTAGTGATTTTGTTTACATACCTTGGCACATTCATCACAGTCTTGGCCAGGTAGTCTCATTCTCTCAGTCTTCTTGCGAACCGTCTCTCTTCTATATTTGTACTTGGGACTCTTCTGCATATCCGGCAGCCTGTAACAATAAAAGCTGATTGTGTATCTCTTCAGCACATAGCCTTATGAGCTGTGGTTGTTATGTTTTGATAAGTTTGCTATAATTATATCCCTAGATTTTCCACCATCCTGATTCCCAAAGTGAGTCCTCTCAGTCAGAGCTGGATTGTTGACATTGTTGCACTTTTATTTTGTACAGCGATTTTGGTGACTTTAGATTTGTTTTGAATAAGACAAACTTGGAAAGATAACTTGCACTGTGTTCTCTTGATACTAAAATTAAAAAAAAAATTATTTACCAAACACTGAAGGAAATATTCCTTAGGGTGATAATAAGGGACTCTATTGTGAGCCTGAAACTGGAAGATGGACATAAAGACATAATAAATAAGTACAATTTCATTTTTTCTAAGTACATTAAGAAATCGTTGTTAAAACCTGAAGCAATTAAGACAGACAGACAGTACCTGTCAAAACTTGTGTTTCCAGGGGCAGGCAGGCAGGTGCTGGTTATCATGGGGTTAAACACTGTCATGTCCGGGTCTTCCAGTGTCTCTGCTGCTGATGTCTTTCTGATACAACAAAAATAAGAACTACAATACTGGAATGATACATGATGCTTGATACATTTGTGATAAGTTATAGAATTAATGCTATGGGTTGCGTATTTATGAATTTATTAGTCAGCTGCCAAAAGTAAATGAAATAAACGGTATCAGCAATCTGACACATACTTTCTCCCATTAGCTTGTCAACAACCTTTATCATGGGTAAGCGGTGGGAGTAACAATAATATTTTATAGGGAAAATCACAAAAGTTGCAATGACTTTTGAACCATAATTTTTACAGCAACAAGGGGTTGCACTATTTTGTTTGGAATTATAAGGACCATAACATACTAACTATAATCATAACCGGCTCTTTTTGAAAATCCGATATTTCGTTATTTAATGGGTTTTAACACTATTTACTTGAGTTGCGCACACTACTTTACCTACGACAGAGTTTTAATTAGGCCACTAAAAATCACTAGGCCTACTCATAACTTCTAAGAGAGGTTATGTTTTGTTTATAACCTCTTATTTCCACTGAAAGTGTTGCAACAAAACATTGTACCAGACACTAATTGCATCACTCAACAATTAGATTGGCCTGCACAGCTGATAAGTTGAAGTTCAAATCATTCATTACAATTTTACTTCTTCTCTCTCAATCCTTGAACCTCATTAGTCCATTACCCGTGTTGTTATGAAAACTATGCTGTTATGAAAGTAAACAATGTTATGTTATGAGAAACTTTTCAATTCTAAGAAGTGAATTCAGATTCTTTATTCGTCACAATACATTTTCACTAAATTTCATTTTCAAAAAAATCACTGTGCATTCCATAGTTTAAGACTCTGGTCAGTAAGAAATCTATATAGCTCTGGTATTAGCCAAATATCTTTTCTAATTAGTTTAACCTTGTCCAAACAGTGATCCACAATTTTTATCAAATCTCTAAATGTTGAAAAGAAAGGGATGGTTGCTTCTAAAACATAGCAAAACTACAGTTAACGTTACTCATCTTATATCATAAAAGGTGAAGTGTAGTTTTACTTTATACATAGATTTACTTACTTCCCAAACAGTTTCTTAGCATTTTGCTCAGGGCTAGGTAAGATAACGTCTATGTCTTCATCCCGGTTCTTTGCCACTCCTCCTTTGAAACTTCCAGAAAGTGAAATATCATGTTTCTTCTCTGGTCGAGAAAGACTCAAAGTCATTTGCTTAAGTTTTTTGCCACCAGGAGCACTAGTGGACACTGCCTCTACTAATCCTCCAGGCTTCATGGTCCAAGCCAGTCCTGCGTCATTTTGACAACTAGAAATATGAGATTTTTTAAATGTTTGGATTGGTATGTTTAAGGAAATAACATTATAAACTGTATGAAAACAATACTCGGAGTAATCAAAAGAAATATCTTTATAACTACCTGTTCCGGTTCATAGTTCAGAGGTCTATAATTGCAATCAATGTCTAGAATTGTCATAGGTAGTGTCTTTTCCTTTATGCATGTTGAGCACGTATGTATCAGAAATATGAGGATTTCATAAATTTATTTTTAGGTATATGCTTCACAGTTTTTGGCAAGGTACAAAGAGAGTCCCGCTACTCCAAATGCTGCTTGAAAATCCACCTATTCCGAAATAAAGTTTGGAAATCATTCTAATTTTTTTTTATGTTTGTCAAAAGCTAACTTGTATTTGTAAAATCTTACACGGTCACAGATGTCTTTCTGATCATTTGAATGTCTTTCACAATGATTGTTGTCACCCATGATACCGGCAAAACCGCGACATTGCTTGCGATCACAGCAAAACTTTCTTTCGTTCATCTTTGCAAATGCATTTTTTACACAAAAACAAAAGCTCAGCAGGGTCACGCCATACTCATTATAAATCTTCCGAGGTTAGGCCAACAGCAAAACTTAGGAATCACCTGCTATATGGTGGAACAATTTTCGATTACGCATCTTTGAAAACACTTTCTGCAATTGTAAAAGAAAGCTTAGCACGGTGACGGCTAAATTTTAAAAAAATTCTGAGGTAAAAAAAATCTGAACATCCTCTGCAGTCAGGGCAAAATTGAAAATCTCTTTTTGAGGCACAGCAAAATAGAGAACATCTAGTGCGGTCCCAGAGACATTCATCGTCTCCCGCAATAGCTGCAAAACTGTGAACGTCATCCGCAAAATCTTTGACCGATTATTACATTGATCCGCTTATTCCTAATTCCCGCTAATCTGAACAGGGTTCAGGGAAACAGAAAATACCTATAATGACAAGAGCTTTTAATTTCCCTCATTTGAAAATGCCAATGAAGTGGACACAAAAAAGATTTCACAACTATTTTACATACAAACAAAAACTATAAAATATTTTTACCTTAGTATCGAGCCCTTAGCAGCCTCAATATTGTCAGACAACACTGAAGGGCTGGCAACAGTCTGGTTCACTTGCAGCTTCTCTCTTGAAGGAGAAACATTTTGTGAACATAGAATTGGTGAAAGTCGCAACTTCTTGCTAGCTTGTTCTACAACTTCTTCCTGAAATACAACACAATTTTTAAGCTTTGCATGGATATAAAACCAATATACCACAATAGAATCTAAAGTAAAGACAATCAGGCCTAATATGTGATTTCAGAACATAAGAAAGTATCTTAACCCTTCCCGTACAGGCAAAATCGTGATATAGGACAGGAAAAATTATAGGAAAAAATAAAAATTAATTTTCCTTTTTTGTGTTTTGTTATACAAATATACATAAAATAAACACAATAGAACACTTCATACTGTCAAAATAATTTTTTTACTTGTTTTTAAATATGTGGATTTATCCGCTACCCGTCCGCGGATGAGTAGAAAAGCAGTGGATATATCCGCCACCCTTCATTGAAGATATGACCATGAGAACATTAGGCAATAAATAAAGAACAATATGTAAACAATAAATAAATACAACACAGTGTTGAGCACGAAACGTCGAGGGAGGAGCGTAGGAGAGGTGGGTGGTGCGAGGGGAGAGGGTGAGGAGCGGGAGAGGGTAGGCGCGTGAGAGAGTGGGGATTGCAGGAGAGAGCGCAGCCATGGAGAGAGCAGGAAAGTGGCGCCTTGGTACCACAAAACATCTGGTTACTGCTCAAGCACCTGCCAGTCTGTCTGAAGAGAAGGCGGATATATCCCGTCCGGAACATCAAAAACTATAATGGGATATATCCGTCACCTGTCCGAGAAGGGTTAAATAATAAGCCTACTTGCAACTATTTGCCTATCCACACCAATTTAATGGTTCAATATTTACCATAGGTAAACCTCCATTAGCTATCAGCTATCACACAAGAATGAGATTTATTGAAATAAAAACATAGGCAAGACAAAGGACGGATCAGTAGATAGAACTAAAAAAAAAACTCTTCAAATCTTTCTACATGTACACTTAATTGGAAAATACTGAAAATGGTAGTCATATTAGAAAAATATTAGATTTTAAAAATGCTTAGTGTGTTCAAAGCTATAGGTCCAAAAATAGGTAAGTGTATTTTGCATATCAGTAACCAATAATAGCCTACTGTAATATATAATGCTCAATATGAACTGACATAGGTAGTTAACATACATTTTCAAGAGAGATGATATTTTCCTTTAAATTATTCATGTTCCTACTTCTATACTTTGGTGATGTTTTATCCTTGGAGGTTTTCTTTGAGATAACATCCTTTGGGCTTTCTGTAGCTTCGGTTTCTGGGATAATAATTGTACGTTTTTCAGATGGACAAGAGACATTTTCACTGTCTTCAACCAATATGGTTTCATCTACTAGTACTTTAGAGTTGTCCTCATCTCCATTTTCCTCAGTGTCTTCAATAAGAGATACTCCTCTTGTACGATTTGACTCCTGACTTTGGTTAAGTTTAGCACATACTAATTCTGTAAACATCTGATTCATAGGGTTTGTGTTACCATCTTCTATGTTCGCTAACGTTTTAACTGAAACACATACAAAATATTAAAGCTTAATAACATTTTTCTAAGCCAAAGCGAAGTAAACAACAGTAACTGGCGGGTTAGCTGAGTGGTTTAGTGCTTGCATAGCCATGAAAAGGTTGCTGATTCGATCCTGAGCTTTTTGATGATTAGAAACTGGACCCAGCTGTCCCTGATCATTAGATCCATATAAAGATTCATCACTATGAAGATTTGTCATAAACACTTACAAAAACATTTAACAAAAATTTGGTCAGTTGGACTTTTCCTACTTTAATCTTGTTAATGAACCCATTTAAAAAACCTTGGTTGCAAGACAAAACCCAGATCAATAACGGTACAGCAGGTATTTAATTTTGTATTTGAAAATTATGTGATTCAGAGGCTAAAAAATGATTACACCAGTTTAAATTTACTTACCGATAGTTTTAAGCAGCTTGGCTTTTTCTTCTTTCTTCAACTTTTCCTTATCCTGTCTTTCTTTCTTCAGCTCATTTGTTAGAAAAGAACAATTGGTGCACTTTCTGTTTCTAAACCTATTAACAATGAAGGTCATTAATTAGGACATCAGTAGGTGCCAATAAAACAATAACTTATACACATCAGTATTTGTTTAGTTATATCTAGAACAAGTTTCTAGAAACAGGGTCCAAGAAACAATATTTTACTGAGTCCTGTCTACAAATTGAGCCCTGTGACAATCATTGTTTTGAGGCCATATAGAATAGGCTATAGAGATATTTGATGCATAAGTAAGTAGGTAACTCATTTCTCCTCCAAGATTACCAACACTGATATTGCGAACCAAATAAAGATTAACTGCCTTACTACAACATATAAGTCAGGCCTGTTTTTGACCCTGTAGGCGCCCTAGGCCCTAGGCTAATAGTGGTGCCCCTTTAAAAAATATAACAGGGTGTCCACCGTTTGGGAAATCCAGGAATTATGCGTGAATTTTGTATTTCAACTAGGAATTTTCAATTTACTGCTATCCAGCATGACATGACAACAGTGGTGTATCCATGAGTAGGGGAGACAAAATATGTCTACACAAGTCCCCGAGGGATGATCCAAATTTTTCCGCGATCACAGAAGACAATGAAGAAGTCCACACGACCACGGGATCGATAATTACCGGTACGGTACCATTTTTCCGCAACCGCGGGTGACAATTACTATGGCCACATGACTGCAGGAGACAATATAATGATGTCTTCACGGCCGCGAGGGATGACCAGAATTTTACCGCGATCGCGCAAGATGATGATAATGTCCAAACAACCACTGGAAAATATCAGTATTTAGCCTCATTCGCTGTAGACGATGATAATCTCCTCACGACTGTGGGATATGTTCATTGATTGCCAAAATGGAAGGGGAAATAAATAACATAATGCCGCAATTGGGGGAGACAATTAAGTAGGCTACGATGCTTACATGGCCACGAGGGATTATCAGAAGATTACTGCAATCACATGCAAATTTGAACTTCCACCTACCTTTCCAGTGAGATTTTCAATTCTTCACACCTTTTAACAGCTTCGATCTTTTCTTCTTCTAGTTTTATACATTTTTTCTTCAAACCTGTCAAAAGTTAAAATAATAAATTTTAAATTAGGCTAGTAAAATTTGGAGTTAGGCTTAACTTAACTTAAAGCGATAAAACATGTTGTTTTGTTAATGAGGTGTCAAGTCCACAAACTTAAAGGCTATCATTAGATTTTACGACTTATCCTTTGAGTAGGTAGTCTTATCCTAACTTAGCCTAGTTTACAATATATTGAAAATAGGACAAAATTTTGAATGCACAACTCGCAGCAGTATGGGCCTAACTTAAATCAATTATCTAAAGCTGATCAATTTTTCCATATACCCTAAATCAATCATGGTGATATTTACTTGCCTACTATTGGACTGTAATCAATAATTAGGTACGGTACCTAACTTATGGCAATTGATAGGTTAGTCAATCAATTGATATCAGCCTTGGAGGGTAGCTGTCAGGCCCTGGTCACATTGTGCGATTTGAGTAAGGCGTTTGATTGTGTCTCACACCCAGTTTTGCTACAAAAATTGGAATTCTATGGCATTAAAGACTTAGAGCTTAAGTTTTTTGAATCGTATCTTAAAAACAGAACACAGTTGGTAGATGTCAATGGTAAACGCTCAATGGTTGTAGAGATCAACCAAGGAGTCCCGCAGGGTTCAATTCTCGGACCAGTTTTATTTTTAATTTTAATGAATGATGTTAGCCAATATGTAAATTGTTTTTCCTGTGTTTATGCTGATGACACTTCCTTGGTTTCATGTCATAGTAACTCAGATGCTCTAATTCATGATGCTCAGATTAACTTTCAGAAGGTTGTTCACTGGTTCACTGTAAATCCTACTAATATTATAAATGAGAAAGTTTGGATGTATGGATGTATGGATGTATGGATGTATGTTTGTGACAAGTGAACGCGAAAAATACTGGTCGGATTGGGCTGAAATTTGGCATGATGATAGCTCACATTCCCGATTAACATATAGGCATATTCTTATTTCAAAAATCCTTTCGGGCTCCGCCCCAGTGGCTCTGGAGTTTCCCATGTTAACCTTATGAGAAATGAAATTATTGAATCTTAACAGCTGTTTCAATTAAACAAGTTGGTTCTGTTCTGTGATGTTCAATAGCATTAAAGTTACAAAAATTACCAACAGGGTGCAGCACTATTATTTCTTTTACATTTATGACAACAGCTAATTTGCAACCAAAAGGTGAGTGAGCGTAGCGAACGAACTTCAACCTGGAGGCGAGTTAGCGTAGCGAACGAGCTAACCTGAAGGCAAGTGAGCGCAGCGAACGAGCTCCAACCTAAAGGTGAGTGAGCGTAGCGAACGAGCTCCAACCTAAAGGTGAGTGAGCGTAGCGAACGAGCTCCAACCTAAAGGTGAGTGAGCGTAGTGAACAAACTTCAACCAGGACGTGATTGAGCCATGCGAACGAGATAATCTTGAAAATTAAGAAGTTAAACGGGGCAAAGCCCGCGGGTTACAGCTAGTGGTCTATATATTAATGAGGATAAAACAAAAAGAATGTTGGTGTCCTTAAACAATGAAATGTGTAATGTTGATTGTTCTGATAGTGTAAAGCTGCTTGGAGTAATTATAGATAGTAAATTAAAGTGGAAAGACCATATAGATTTTGTGTGTAAAAAATTGTCTAGAGTAATTTGTTTGTTGAGTAATTTAAAGAGATTTGTGTCTGTTACATACCTTAGGATGGCATACTTTGCTTATTTTGAGAGTATTTTGAGATATGGTCTTATCATTTGGGGAAACGGTATAGGCATTAATAGAGTTTTAATTAGGCAGAAAAGAATTATTAGAATATTGGCAAATGAATCAAAGTCAGAACACTGCGGACCTTTGTTTTTACAAACTGGTATTTTAACTGTGATAAATCTGTATATATTCGAAGTCATTAGAAATTTAAGAAAAAATATTGATAATTTTAGATTAAGATGTGATGTTCATGAATATAATACTAGATTTAGGGACAAAATAGATATTACTAGATGTAGGTTAGGTAAGGCACAAAAATATCATGATTATTTGGCTGTGATATTATACAATAAATTACCAACTTGCCTAGTCAATTTAGAGTCTGATAAAATGTTTCTAACTAAATTTTACAAATGGCTACAGGAAAATCCCATGTACTTGGTGGATGAATACTTTGAGCGAGAAATTGTGATAGTTTAGGCTTGTTTTGTTATTTTGTTCTGAAATGTTTATAATTGTTTTGTCTTTAAATTATTTATGATTCATGTTTGTTTAATAGTCCTTAAGCCAATACCACACAGTACCTGACTCGCCATAATTTCTTAATTTCTTATTTTATGTAGCTAACTTATTAGGCCTATTTTTAAAATTGACAAGACCTATTGTATTTTGTATTTACTTAACGGTCAATAAAATGTCTTATTGTCTTACATGATAAAAATGTATGATGGTGAATGTATGATTTGATATGACAAGTTATTCTATAAGCCGTGTTTAAGCGGGGTCAGTAGGCACGCAAGTTACCTGCCTCTTGACTTAAGCCGCGTTTATACGAGGCCAGTAGAGCAGACATGTTACTTGCCTTTAATGTTTCAAGTTGCCTGAGGCAAGTACCTAGCCTGAACGAACACCAACTGGCCTCAAGTAAACACATCCTTAGGGTCTTTCAAGTTGCCTGAGGCAGGTTACCTGCTCAATGGTCATCAACTGGCGTTGTGTACTTAAACGTGGCTATAAACTTAACCTACAATAGCAATGATAACTTACTGGGTTAAACTTAGTTATAGAAATTATTAATATTTATTGATACTGAAAGAAATATGTCCCAGGAGCATTCTCCTGGCCACATATTAGTAGCCTAAAACCACAGTAACTAAAACTAGGCAGCATCTGCATCTCTAGGCTATGTTTGTACCTACAAACTAAAACAAAACAACCTCGTCTGGTAAGTTAGGCCTAGTTTTACTTACTTTCAGTAATCCCTAATAACTGATGAAGAAATGAAATTTGAGAATTAATGTCTGCAACTGTGCTTAGGGACGACTCCATAGTGCGAATTAATTTCTATTATTTCTCCTATCTATTGCTATAAGCTATTCTTTCTAGCACCAAACTTTTGTGTTCTACATTGGAACAGAAGTTAAAGTAAGTTAAGTTACCCTTGTTAATGAAACCACTATAAACGATCAAGAAAAATATACTGTAAATGCATTAAAAATAGCATACTAAACTTCTTAAAGTTAATTCATTAAAATAAATTAGACCTAGACATTCTTAACCTAAAAATTTCAAGAATAATTACATGTCATAGACCATAGACAGACAGACAGACATACTGTACTATAAAGTTAAAGAGACTAGACTAGAGACTAGACTAGACTCTAGAGACTATGAAGGACTAGGACTAGACTAGAGAGAGCTAAAAATAAAACCGAAACGACCGAAACTCCCGCTCTTGCTAGGCTACCTGACTATTATTGTCACTGAGTTTGAGTTAGCTCAGTGATTATTGTCAAGAAGAGTAAGAATAGAGAAAGAGAAAAACATTCCCATTACAATAACTTAGACCATAGAATAAACCTATCCCCATACCCACATAAAATACTACCTATGTTATTTACCCAATTGATTTGTTATAGTGCAAATAAACTTCTAGTCCTAATGTAAAAAAAAAAGAAAAAACAATCAGCCATGAAACGTAAAACAGCTAGCCAGCTTATTTGATGTAAATGAAGACTTTCACCGTTGTACTTGTGTTGGTTAGTCTATGGTTGTACCAAATTCCTTCTAAATCTGATGATTTCAATCGAGCTATTGTGCTAACGGTCATACAGACCCTCTCTTTTGGTCTCTGCCGTATCTCCTCTTTGGGGACATCAAAACAAAATAAACGGTATCAGCATCAGCAACTGAATACATTCTCCCATTAGTTTGTCAATAATCTCAACATTAACGTGTAAAACAATCCCGGACTCGACGTACCCAAAGAGGAGATGCTAGGGTCTTAGAACTAAAAATAACTTTGATATTTTAGGAGGAAAATCAAAAACTTAGCAAAATCTTTGAACCGTAATTTGTACATATACATTGGGATGTATTTTACAGTTTTGATTAAAGTTAAAAGGACTATAACCTGGGGCCATCCACATATTACGTACCGTCGTAACGCTCATAGAGGGGAAGATGTTACGAAGAGGGGGGGAGGGGTTCAAAATCAGTACGGTAACGCACTAAAGAATATTTCCAAAAGTACCAAAACGATCAAATATTTATAAGAAACAGCCTTTATAGTCTGGAACTGATATTCTAATTAAAAAAATCTTAACAACTCCTAGCTCTGATCTTTCACTCATAAGGGAAATAAAAGAATGAATACGGTCATCCAGTGTTGAATATAATATGATGGAAAATAATATACATCTTCATTTTGTACTGTTAAATTATCGTAATGTAAATTTTCTTCAGTGTGGAAAAGGCACCCATATCCTCATCTACATGAGAAGTGTTCACAATACCTAAAATTGCTAATAAAAAAACATTATACTGTTGAAATTAATCTGTTCAGATATTGTGTTAAAATAAACTGATATATACAATTTGTTTTCGATAACGTTATTTAAAAAACAATTTTAAGCTACCTTTTCACCCCAGGAGAAATTTTCCCCTAGATTTTTTACCCCACAACCTTGTTAAAAAATAATAATAACAAGAAGACGTTACAGTGGGAAGGGAGGGGTTTATAAATTATGAAAAACGTGGTACTGGTACTTAATATGTGGACGACCCCATACTAAATTTGGTCAAAATCACGATTAAAATATCAAAAGAATGAACAATATATATACAAAAAACTCAATTTCATCGCAATCGAACCACAGGTGTGGTTTATATGTGCACATCCATACACATGCATCACTTCGAAAACCACTTTTTGGGTTCAGGGGGGGCACAAAGATTACAAAGATATATACATAAATAGATAATATAGTTCACCACACGGGCAAAAAGTGACTTTTTAACCCTTGCTTATTTTCCGACCTCGGCTTCGCCTCGACCGTAAAAAAGAGTCACTTTAGCCCTAGTGATAAAATATTCTATTTTAAACACCTGTTTTTATAAAGTTTTTTTCATCACTCTGTATTAGAAAAATCCCATTTCAATACAGCTGGGATCTTCGAAAATCGTCGATTTCCATACACCAAAAACAAATAGTGATCAGCTGACTTTTCCTGACACAAAACATTACTTTCGCTAAATAAACATTACTTTCGCTACACAATCAATACTTTGCCTGACATCAATAAATTTACAATTGTAGTTTTATTTTAAGTTTGATGGCGTAGTTTTTTGTCATTGTGATGAAAAGTATCGTTCAATGCTCGTCACGAAAGTCCCATTTCGGGGCTCCATATAGTGTTTCTCATGTTCGTCTTCGACTAATAAAAACACCATCTCGCCCCAAAATGGGTCACTTTCGTGACTAGTAGTAAAATATACTATTAATTGGTATCAAAAAGAGCAAAATTTAAATCAACCAATTAGGTGGCTTTATGGTAATTTGACCCCCACGTCCATTCGTTTTCTGGTGATCAAAACAATCTCCTCTATTGTTGGTGGCAGCAAAAAGGCAATTTTCAAATTTGTAACTTTCAAAAAGAGCAAAAATCTTCTTTTGCAAATTGTGCATCCTCGAAACTTTAAAATTAAATTACCCTATTATTCTTTACTTCTTTGTTGGTGTTATTGTTTTCTGAAATAATAATTGAAAAAAAAAACCGGAGATTGACTAAAACTTAAGAGTTGATTTCTTTTATAGAATTATAGTAGATAACAAAAAACCCTGTTTCCAAAAAAGAAAAAACAAAGTGGACGATAAAATATATTTGATCCTAGTAGCCTCAAATACCTTATTGTATGTTTTGGTCAGCCAGCAATATTACTTCCAGTAGTTGACATTGCTACTATAATTAGACTATAATCACGGTTTGGGTCAGAGGACTGACATTAGTGTTATTAAACTTCTATGTTGCTGAAACTGAATTATCTTGGTAATTGTGTGAAAACTTTGGTGCATTCCTCCCTATTTATATACAGGGCTGATTGAATTCTTCATGTTGTACATCGATTCTTCGTTCGTTCCCTTGTAAACGCAATTTCTGTTACAATGTATCTCGTACAGGTTGTATCTTTTTGTGCACGAAAGGTACTCGTACTTCGGAAGTAATGAAACGAAGTATTCCAATAATCTTTGATCTACGAAATAACTAAGGAAATAAGAAACAGAATAAATAAGGGATAAATGAAGGAAATACAAGAGACAAGCTAAATAGTTAGTAGTATGTTTTCTGTGTTAATAGGTATTTGTACATAACCTGGTACTACTGATACACCAGTTACTCTTACAATAGATTTCGTTAACAAGATTGCGCTCAATTATGATTGAAAATCGTTCAGTATGGGGGAAGTAAATTCTCGGTCAAGGATTAGTTGACAAAATGTTCCTGGTGTTGAAACTAACCGACAAAAAACTATAATGCTGCGATCAAGGACAAGATACGTGCGTTAATCCCACAAGAGTCATTTGTATAACAACATATAATTAGATAAACGAGCTGTTGACCCGTCATATACGTACGGGAATTGAGTAGTCAACTAAAACTGAAGTTATATCAATATTTCCATTTCTAATCCGAGCAAAGTTCAGGCGGTTGAACATTTGCTGTAAACAAAAAGCTGCCAAGATGAATTAAAACCTGTAAACATTGTTATTTTCCTACTCTTTCCTCAAAAAGTCCAACAGAAAGAAAAATAATTTGCATAAGCTTTCGTTTGAAGACTCGGGGGCAGAGCCTCGATTTGTATACATCAGTGGTTATAGAACCTTACTTATTTCCTATAATCAATGGCAAAATCACAGAAAGAATATTTTTATATTCAACCAGCTGTTAGTTAAAACAAATTATATTCCATTTAAACAAACTTAAAATTTTAAAGACTGCTCAAAAAATAAATTGCAATGTCTATAATTTTACAATGTATATTTAAATAGTCTGTCATCCTCTTACCCAATAAATGAACGTATCATGAGTATATACAGGGTGTTCATTTGAAAACTTTCCATATCTGTTGTGTGCAAAGGTAAGGCTTTTAACACTTGTTTGTTCTCATTTCCCCCTAATTTGGACATGCCAAATCCAATAAAATTATTTTCAATTTTAAAAAATGCCCCAAAAGGGCCCAATTTGGGGGGTAGGGGTGCTTTTTGAGAAATTTTCAAATGTAAACATGGGTTGTGTGATACGTCAATTTAAAGGTCTAATCACCCCGATCATTTTGGTGCAAAAAAAGTTTAATTATCTTTAACCGTATTTACAGGGTGGGTCAAAATGTTTTAAAAAAGGACTTTGAAGTTAAGTACCGTAATACCCTAACTACTGAACGGAACAGCGCCAAATTTCTTTCCAAGCTTATTCTTGAGCTACTCTTTAAGATAACTTGTAGGAAGGGCATTTGCCAAAGTTATTTTCTAATTTTAAAAAAATCTCAAATTTTAAGAATAAAAGAAAGCTGAAAACTCAAAATTCTTAAATAGCAAGGTATAACAAATTTCATACCACGTGAAAGGTCCTTTTTTAACAAATATTTTACGTATTTAAGTTTTCTTTCTATCTCTTACCGTTTAAAAATTGCAGTAGAAAAACATAATTTTCTATGGTAAAATTGTAACTAGTTTTCTAATAAAACAGACAAAATTCGTCTCTAGACACATTAAATGGTGCAATAACTGAAGGAAACAATTCATAATTATTTTTAGGCAGATAGGCAAACAAGTCATTGCGTTTTACTTTGTGAAAAACAAGTTTTATAGCTGATGAGAAAAACCCAAGCGTGGGCCGCTTTCTGTAGTACCATTGATTAGTCAATGGTAGTACTAATTTCAAAAGTACCATTTCCTGTAGTACCTAATCAAATATGGTGTAAACTTAAAAAAATAGACTTTATTTTACTTATTGGTCATAACAAAAGTGTTCCAGGATAACTGCAAAGTGTTTAACAATAGATATCCAGGTATAACCTTGAGTCATATGGCTGTAAATGATTTAGTTAGGAAGTTTTCTGAAACTGGCTCAGTTACCAATGAGAAAAGAACAGGATGAAGGGTCCAAGATGAATTCTGACACACGTAAAAGTAGTCGATCAATTTGTTATGAATCCTACTACATCGTTGAACAAAGTGCAATGTGTTTTATTAGAAAACTAGTTATAATTTTACAATGG